CACGACAAAGGAAAGCACCAACAAAATACAAAGGCAACCTACAAAATGGGCAAAAACATTTACAAATCAGATATACGGTAAGGCATTAACAGCCAAAATATATAAATAGCTCATACAACTCAAAAGCAAAAAAAAAAAAGTCCAATGAAAAACTGAGTAGACATTTTCCCAAAGAAGACCTAGATGGCAAATAGCTACACAAAATGTGCAGAACAGGGACGCCTGGGTAGCTCAGTCAGCTAAGCTTCGACTCCTGGTTTCAACTCAGTTCATGGTCTCAGGGTCCTGGGATCCAGCCCCACATTAGGCCCTGCAGTCAGCGGGAAGCCTGCTAGAGGATACTTGCCCTTTCCCTCTACCCTTCTCCTTGCTCAGGTGCACTTGCGCATGCTCACTCTCTCTCTCAAAGCAATCGATAAATCTTTTTTAAAATGGTGCTGAACATTATTAATCATCAGGGAAATGCAAATCAACCCAACTGAGATTTTACTGCACAGTTGTTGGAATGACTACTCTCAAAAAGACAAGAAATAGCAAGTTGGCTATGGAGAAAAGGGAAACCTTGTGAACTATAGGTGTGAATGTAAATTGACGTAGCCAGTATGGAAAAATTATGGGGCTGCCTCAAAAAATTAAAAATAGGGGTGCCTGGGTGGCTCAGTCAGTTAAGCGGCTGCCTTTGGCTCAGGTCCTGATCCCAGGGCCCTGGATTCGAGCCCCACGTCAGGGTCCCTGCTCAGCATAGAGCTTGCTTCTCCCTCTCCCTCTGCCTGCTGCTCTGCCTACCTGTGCTCTCGATCTATCAAATAAATAAGTAAAATCCTTTTTAAAAATTCCCCAAAACCTTAAAAATAGAACTTCCCTATGATCCAGCAATTTCACTGGGTAATTATCCAAAGGAAACGACTAACTCAAAAAGACACATGCACCCCTGTGTTCTCTGCACCATTATTGACAATAGCCAAAACACGGAAGTAAACTAAATGTCCACTGATGGACAAATGGATAAAAAAAAGGTAACACACACAATGTAATATTATTTGGCCGTATAAAAGAAGGCAATCCTGTCCTTGGTGACATGGACAGACTTTGAGGGCATTTTGCTAAGCGAAATAAGTCAGACAGAGAAAGACACTGTATGATCTCACTTACATGTGGAATCTAAAAACAAAACAACAACAACAACAACAAACCAAACTCATAGATAGAACATACTGGTGGTTGTCAGAGGCTGGAGGTGGAGATGGGGTAAAATAGATGGAAGTGGTCAAAAGGTACAAACTTCCAGTTGTAAAATAAATTAAGTCCTGCGGATATAAAGCACAACATGGCGACAATTGTTAACAATGCTGTCTGAGTCATCTGAAGTTGCTAAGACAGCAGATCTTAAAAGTTCTCATTGGAAGGAAAAAAAAATTATTAACTGTGTGGTGACAGATGTTAATTAGACTTATTGGGGTGATCATTTCGCAGTATTTACATATATCCAATCATTATGTTGTACACCTAAAACTAATCGAAAATTATATGTCAATCAAAACTCGATTTAAAAAGTATTTCTAAAACCCACCACAAAAGTTATGGGAAAGACAGGGAGTTATGGAAGAAACAGAGAATCACAGGAAACAACAGAGAATTGTGTGAGACAGGGAACTGTGGGAGATCGTAAAAAATTGTGGGAGACATGGGGAATTCTGGGAAAGGACAGAGAATTGTTGGAAGGGGAATTGTGGGACAACTGGGGAACTATAAAGGGAGGAATATTATGAGAGAGCAGAGAATTGTGAAAGAGTGGAGAACTGGAGAGGGATGGGGAATTATAAAAGAAACAGGGAATTATGGGGGGGAAAGGAGAGTCAGGCACAAGACATGGAATTGTGGGAGCTCTAAGAAGTACAAAAGCAGCACTTTGTAAACATAAGTAACCAAAGGTTTGGAAAGGAGACTTATTTTACAAGAACCAGTCATAAATTCAGTTTGTAATTACAAAAGAGCTTCAGATTTTTCCTCTCTGCTAAACCCTTGGGTCTGACAGCAGGAGTTCATAGCACATTACCAAAGATTCGCAAACCCACACACACTGCCTTGTCTAGGCAGATAGACATATACGTAAACATACGCACATAGACTGACACACACACACACACATACAAATATATACGCACACATGTCTTGGAAATTTCAAACATGATCACAGAAATAAACTAATAAAATGGTTGGGAAATTTTTAAAATCTCAGAAAAAAATAAAACAAGATGAAAAGGTGACAGAATGATAGAAGAAAACGAGAGTGTCAGTCAAGAAATCCAACATTTGAGGAAGAGAGGTTCCTTAAAAGAGAAAGAGGGACTGGAGCAAGTTACCAAGAAAACTAATAATACAAGAAAATATCCCCAATGGGAAGGTTACAGGTTTCTAGAATGAATGGTCCCAACAGGTGCACAGCCAATGAAAGCAAAGAGGTCTGTATCAGGCATCTTTCCGAGCTACTAGAAGAAAGAGAAGTTAAAAATATTGTTGAGGGAAAAAAAGAAACAACGCTTGACTTTTCAATATCTGCAATGGAAACTAAAAGACAATGAAGCAACCGCTTAACAATTCTGAGAGAAATGTTTCTAAACCTGGAATTATATATCCCACCTACCAATCACATGGAAGGGTAAACCAAAAACAGTTTCTGATTTTCAAGACCTCGAAAACTGATGTGCTCCCAAAACAATGCAAAAAAGGATACAGGATATCCAAGAACCAGAGCTCCAACACAAGATGGGAAAAGGTCAAAAGGAAGTCCTAGAAGATGACGAGCAAAAGTCACTTCCAAACAGTTTAGAATTAGGCAGTGGCCGAAGTGAGGTGCGTATCTGAGTGAGGTCTCAAGGGAAAAAAGGGAAACATACACACTAGTTGACATATTTAAATGCATTGGGAGGAGTCTTACAATGCAGACAGAAAGCTTAGGGATAACCTAAAAATCTAGACAAAGGGGGAAAAGGCAAGTATTAAATTCTATTGAAAAAAAAATCCATCTTTGGTCATAACAAATATTTTCACAGTCACAATAATAGAAATACTAAACTGTGATGTATCCAAAACTGTGTAGCTATTGGCACAGGAGAGGGACACATGTGTTTGTGTTACCATGTTGTTTGGAACATGAAGGAAAAGTAGAAGAAACAGTTAAGGGGCAGTAAGTCTTTGGGTAGAGTGGGAATTGAGGGTGAAGTGTCCTCCCAGTCTCCCTAGCCATGTCCAGCTCTCCTTTAACACCCTGTTTGGTAGCTCTTTTATAAAGCACCCTTGTTACCTCCTTCCTTCCTATCCACTTTTGGCACATGACCCTCGAAACAGTCACTTCTTCCCTTTTGCCTCCAAGAGTCTGCACGTACATACCCTCGCATGTAAATACGGTTATTTGTTTGCATGCCTGTCTCTCCCATCACCAGAGGGTGTGGGGCCTTTCTGTGCCATGTGCCCCTGTGGATTGTGGTGAAATCTCTGAGTATCTTCTCAGAATAATATTTTTACGTGCATAAAACAAAATACAAGAAATCACTAAAAAAATTAATAGATTGAAAAGAAATTATCCACATATTTTAGAAGAACAGATTTTGATCATTAAAGGTCAGGTTCCCCAGGAGATATACACTGATATAACATAGATTTTAAAATGCTGTCTTGATCCAGTTTGAAGGCCCTGCCTAGTGGCTGGTCCGTTCCCTTTTTTTGAGCAGCTAAGTCCGCACTTGCCAACCACCTCCCATGTTGGGCTCTCATACTCTGAACCACTATACGCTGTGCACCTGCCCCAGAGCCTGCCTCTCCTGTTTCTTCCCCCTCTCCCGCTGGCCCATGGACTCCAGGGCCCCTGCGTGTGGCACCCCACCGTGTGATGTATACCCCTCTCTTGGGATCTGTGAGTATAATCAACTGTTTATTCAATGGCAGTTGTTTCCTGATTCGTTGACCTCACCAAATCTAAATAATAATTAATAATTAAACGCATTAAAATGGTTGAGACTCCAAGAAATGTGCAGCACAGTGCTCTCATACACAGCAACGAGAGTGACGGGAGGTCTAGGCAACGGGAGAAGTCGAACTGTGATGCAGTCACCGTGGAAGTCTCAGCCACTGACATTGGGAGGGCCCTTCTGAGGTGACCTCCTTGAATCGAGGGCCTGGGGGTTATGTGCCCTTGCAGAGGCCATTTGGAGCAGCCTGTGCTCAGGGAGGGGACTGATTTTGCCTGATGCAGTTCTCTTTGGCAGAGGACAATTCCTGGGGAGAGACTCCGCTCAGCGGTGTCAGCGGCTAACAGCCCCCAGCACCCTGGAGGTGGCGTGCAGGTCCTAAAGGGCCATCTGGGCATGCTTCACAGTTCCATCACAGTGTATCACAGATACAGAAAGGCATATGCTTCTTAGTAACACTTAACAAGATAAAATTATCTTAAGACAGAAACAACCATCATTTGTGACAATTTCTCTGTGATTTCTATTAGTACTGCATATTGCTAACACTACTAGGATTTGTTGCCTGCATTCCTGGTGGAAAAAATACTAGATTTCTGTTAGAGGTAAGTGAAAATACAGACCTTCAAGTCCGCACACCCAGTTAAGAAGGCCTTGGGAGCCGGAACCTTGATTTGTTCATTTTGGGATCTCCAGAGTCGGCCACAGTTCTGGACACCTACTGATAGTACTTGAGTCATTGCTATAATTAAAGCTGATGGGATACAGCTTAAAAGATAAAGACTTTTAAAACTAACACCTCCAAAGCGACCCTTCTACGGCTTAAAAGAGCTAGAGCGGACAGCCTCGTTCTGTGGAAGTCTCGGGCTCAGGCCAAACACTCCCTGCCCGCGCGGGCCTGGAGGGGCGGGGCCCGGGCCCGGCACTCGCACTTATAGGTAGAGGCGGGAGGGGGCGGGCCCGCTTCTTCGGGCTCGACGGAAGCCCTTCCTTTTCAGGCCGCGCCCCGCCTCCTGTGCGCCCGGAAGTCCCGCCTTCGGAAAAGGAAGTAGCGGTGCGCTAGGGCGCCGGGGGTGACCGCGACGATAACGGTGACCGAGAGAGGAGAAGGCGACCACGGTTTGGCGGTTAGAGGCGGGGCCGGCTCCTCGGAGCGGTTCGGGACAGGAGTCAGGTGCGGAGGAGGAGGCTGGCTGAGGCCGGTGGGTTTCGGGGTCTCGGGACTGGAACAGGTGGGACGCCGAGGGACCGTGTGAAGACAACTTTGGCCGCGTTTCCCCCTTGGAGGTCCTTTCCTTCCTTCCTCGAATTCGTTTTCGCGCGGTACCCTGCCCTGATTCCCAATTCTTTTCTAAGCCTGGGTCTGAGGGGTTAGTCTGGACTCTCCTCTGGGTCACCACGTTTAGGGCTCCCTGTTCCCCCAGACCCACGCTCTCTATCCGTGACGTAGTTTTTCAGGGACCCCCATCACCTCACCCCCAAAATCCGCGCATCTTAGAAACGTGACTCTAAAGAATGGTGTGGTTTAGATTTCACACTGATATTTCCCAAAGGGGTTATAATACATTAAAGCTATCTCTCGAAGTGGATACTCTGCCCTGTAGATTTACATCAGAATGACGAGGAAGGACGGCCGTTGGGTAGATTAAGGAGGATTGGACAGATTAAGAAGACCGAGGGAGTTGTCGGGGCCCAGGCATCAGCATTAACCTGTCTTTCTGCTTTGGCACGATTGAGTTTAGAATTATTTGGATTCAGCACGTTGGTTCCAGCCATGGGTTTGTCTGCATCTACCCCTGCTGTTGCCGTTCAGACCTCAAATGCTTCAGATCATCAGACAGCATCCCCACCTTCCGGATGTCCCATGCATGAAGGGGAAATGAAAGGTAATTGACCCTTTGTCTAGCAAATAAAAACAAAAAAGAATTCTCAAAAGGGTTTTAAGGAAGAGGCAGCACAGCACGCTAGTGGGACAGAGTGAGTTCTGTCCTTATGGTGCTACTTTCAAGGTATGTGACTATAAACAAGTTACTTTTCTAAGTCATAACCTGTCATCTGAAAGGTGAGGATATAATAATATTTCACAGGGCTGTTGTGACAATTAAGACAGTGCACGAGAGTGGACTGGTGGCTTCATACATTAGCCCTTACCCCTTAAAGTTTGCAATCAGAGGTTCTCAACGTGGGTGGCCACGCCCATCCCCCCCAGGGGGGGACATTCGGAAATGTCTGGAAACATTTTTGTTGGTCAAAACTGAGAGGAGCTGGTGCATCCAGCAAGTAGAAACCAGGAGTTCTGGTAAACATCCTGTAGTGCACAATGTACCTCTGCAACAAAGATCTCCTGGCCCCAAATATCAGCAGTGCCAAGGTTGAGAAACCTTGGTCTAGATCTGTCTTTATCTGTTAAGGCAACTTTACACCCGTTGCATTATTCATCTTTATAAAAGTAAGTCATCGCTTATGGCCTTCCTGCTGTTTCCTTAGCTGCAGAGGTGAGAATGGAAAAGCTGTCTTTTATTCCTCACTGGTCCACATTTGCTTTAGATGCTTTATATAAAAGTATGACCTGAAAAACACTTTCTTGCATTGTAGTCTTTGATTCCCTTGGTCATTCAGCAAGAATTTACCCACTGCCCACTCTGTGCCAAGCACCAGCTGGTTTTGTTTCTGCACCGAGAGACAGCAGTGCATAGAACACAGAAATCCTTTGCCTGGTGGAGTACGCATTCTCATCCTCGTACTCCAGTGTGGTTAGGTTTTCTATTTTATATTCACGAAACTTAAAAACCACACAGTTAGTAAGTGGCAAAGCCAGCAAAAACTGTGACCTTGGACAAGGACAGACCCAGTGCTCTTCCAGGGTTCCCTCTGTACAGGAAGAATGAAGACAGAGTTGGACAGAGCTGTTGTGTATCTGTGCTGAGTGTCTCCGGGTGGATCATAGAGCCCTGAATGTGGTTTGATTTCATTTACTATGTATCCAGAAGCGCTGTCAGTCAGATTTGTTTGCAAAAGTAAAGAATATGGATATTTGTAGGTGACTAATGGGGCTCCTGGTTATATGGAAAATGTAACAGTATTTTCTCACACCCAGCTGGGATCACTGACCCTGGAGAGATGGGTATTTTGAATGGTGGAGTGGAAAGCTGATAGAAAAGTCTCCCTTCACCCCTCAAGCAGACAGCCGTACAGGGTCCTAGGGAATGAGGGTCAGCGAGGAGGAACAGAGGAATGGAAGTGAATAGAAATTTGTCTTTGGTGTGTATGGGCATCTAGCACATTCTTGGTGTCACTGCTGCTGCCTAACGCAAGGATCCCTTACTTGGGCAGCTGTCTTCTGGGTCATGGCTCTCCTGGTGCCTGCCCCCTCTCAATAGCGGAAGACCTGTTTCTCAGTCCCCACACTTGCTTCCAGGAGCACCCTAGATTCTTGGGTGTCAGCTGCCCCTCGTGCTGGGCCCTTGTAGCTTCACACCTTCCCTCTTAAGTGGCAGCTGGGTCCCACATGGACGACGGACCATTTACTTTAATATGTGCCTTTCCTTGCTAAATGCTTGCTATTCACTGATGGGGAATAGAACGGAATCAAGGGGTAGTTTTCTGTGCCTTGTTTCTGTCGTGGAGCAAAGCACAAGCAGGGCGCCATCCAGACTTCTCTCCGGGAGCCTTTTTGAAGGCTCCTCTGCTCAATTCCATCTCCCGTCTCCAGTTCCTGGGGGAGGGTGTTGGTAAGCGCGGCGTCCTGTGTCGTGGTCAGGCCGGGCCTTGTCTGGACTCTGAATTGAAAGTCAGGGAGACCCAGTAAAGCATGGCTGGGCCTCTGCTTAGTCTGTTCGGCGACCGCTCACTGCCAGGGGCCCACGCGGGTACCTTCTCGCCCATCGCTAAAACCGTGCAATGAACAGTACATTTCTCTTGCAAATATTGAGGTTTTTTTGTTTGTTTGGTTTTGGTTTAGTTTTGCTACAGGCATGACACGATAAGGGAATGCGTACCCATTTCTCTTTCAAGGGGAAAGTAAATTTATAGAACCTTCTCCTGGTCTATAGGATATTAGAATGTTAGCTGGTTTAGCCCTCGGCAGCGTGGAACAGGAGGAAGCTGGCTTTGCCTTTGACGGTGACCACTGGTCAGAAAGCCGGCTCTTTAGGGCCGGGACTGAGAGTGCCAGATGTCCTGCCTTTGTGGTGACACTGTTTTTGACTTGATTTATTTCAGGCTGTCCAGTGAGCGCAGAGCCATCTAAACCAGCTTGTGAGAACAAAACGGATGCCGTGCCTGCCCACCAGGATCGTGCGTACGAGTATGTGGAATGTCCTGTGACGGGCGCTGTGGCTAAGAATAAGGAGAACCTAGATCCTTCTAATCTGGTAATTCGCACTCAGCCCCTCTTCTGGAACTTTTTCTGCAGAGATGTTTTTATGGCCTCCCAAGGCAGACTGCTGACTGCTAGGATTCATTCTTCTTTCCTTTCAAAATAAAGAAGTCTGATATTCCATCCACGTTGAAACTCCTGAACGCATCAGTAATCGGAGCTTCAGAGAGCACCTCGTGAAGGAAACACTGATCACGAAGCGCCAGAATAGGTTGACTGGAGAGAAGCCACAGCCAAGGGATTTTCCTTTAGGGATAATAGAAGGCGGGGAAGTGCCGTTAGGGGTTCCGCTACACTGGGTAAAGGTATTTCTGGTCCTGGGAAACCTCACAGGCACAATGCCTGGTTAGGGCTCTGTTTTCTGGCACAGCCAGGTGCCAGTCTGTGTGAGAGTCACTGCTGTGGCACAGCGTCAAGTGGCGGCCACCAGTGGAATGCCACCGAGAAAGCAAAGACGAGACAAGCATGACCTCAGCATATTTTGTGATAGCGGAGGGAATGGAGGTTTCCTGTTTGAAATCACATTTTAATGGAGAGACAGACACGTTCCAGTCTGTACCCTGGAAGGCCAGAACAGGGTGCTTTGAAGGCCAGAGTTGGGGCGCCTGGGTGGCTCAGTCGTTAAGCGTCTGCCTTTGGCTCAGTTCATGATCCCAGGGTCCTGGGATCGAGCCCTGCGTCAGGCTCTCTGCTCAGCTGGAAGCGTACTTCTCCCTCTGTCACTCCCCATGCTTGTGTTCCCTCTCTCACTGTCTCTTTCTGTCAAATAAATAAATAGAATCTTTAAAAAAAAAAAAAAAAAGGCCAGGTTATCTGAAGTATTTAGAATCCTTGGCTAACATTTGAAGGAACCAGATATACTTAGTCTGGAAGAGAAGGGTGGTGGGATTGTGTGTGTGTGTATGACAACATACATGTTATATATATACATACACGCATGCACACACACATACAACAGTACCATCAGCTGGGTGGTTGGTAAACAACAGACATGCCATTCTCAAAGTTCCAGAGGCCGAGAAGTCCTATTGGAAGGTGTTGGCAGTTTCAGTAAATTTGGAGGGACACAGACATTCAGCCGCAACAGTCAGTAATGACCTTGCCAAGCTATAAGGAAACTGTTGTGTTGACGGACAAGATCAGGGTCTCCCCACCTTTAGCACTGTTGAGATTTGAGGCTGGGCAGTTCCGTGAGGCGGGGCACTGTCCTGTGCTCTGAGGATATTAGCAGCATCCGTGGTCGTCACCCGCAAATGCCATGATTCCCTCTTTTCTCAGTCCCAACCACCTAATGTGTCTCCAGACATTGCCGGAAGTGCCACCGTAGGACTACTGTTCTAGATAATCTCTCATACCCTAGTGGGTCAGAACATGGGCCTTTTGGAATCCCACAGACCTAGACTCTTACTCATGGGATTGTTACCTGTAGCAAGAATATTAATGAATACTAGCCAGCATTGCTTCTGGAGATATCTGTAGCCCTTGCGCTGGGCACCACACACTCTCCAGTAATCCTCATGCCCGTCGGCAGCCAGGGGTATTAATGTCCCCATGTTCAGAGCTGAAGCCACTGAGAATGAGCGAGGGTGCAGTTCGCCCCACATCGCTCAGCCGGGAAGCGGCGGCCCCCAGTGAATCCCAGCTGCCTCTGACCTGTCCTTCAGCCCCCTGTGGTGATGATGCAGGTCACGTGCTCGCTGTGGCGCCTGGCATACCCAGTTCTCCCGCTGCCACCATTCGAGCTGGGGCCATAGCGTGACTTAATAGTAAACGGGCATCTGCTAGATCTTCAACCTGGAAACACAGAAGAAGTTCTAGGCCCGGGGTTCTCAGCCAGGGATGATTTTGCCCCTGGGAGGACATGGGTTGTCACAGCCTGGGAGGAGGGATACTATATGGTAGCGACCCGGGGAGGTTGCTGAAAATCCTACAGTGCTCAGAACACACCCCCATCACCGAAAGTTGTCCATCCCCAAATGGCATCGAGGCCTGGGGTGAGAACCCTGGTCCAGGGAAGGTGTTCGCATAACAGTGTTGCTGCCCCTGGTGTCTGGGAGGAAGGGTTCTTGCCCCCCTTCCAGTCCGCCGGTGCGGTGTCGCTGCTTGTCTGTTTTGTATTCAGCCCAGAGACTGAAAGCATCGGCCAGATCCTAAAAAGTAAAGAATATCTAAAAAGAAAGCAGGGGCGCACCTATACTTTATGATGCTTTCCCTCAGAGTGAACAGTCATTTTTGAAAAGCTCATCGTAGAAATGTTTACAGAAACGTCGGCAGTCACGGTATTAGTTTTTACTTCTTAATCCTTGGGGAGAAAGACAGAAAACTTAAGCACAGTGTGAATTTACCATCTGTGAGAACTTCAACAAGAAGGAGAAACTTTGGAACTCTGGCTCTTCAAAGCGGCCAGGTTATCTGGGAGAGCTGAACTTTTGCCGTCACTGGCCTCATCGGGACCTGTACCCTGTGTGTGATGCACCGCTTTCCAGAAAGTCGTTGATTAGTATTGTTTGTTTCTACTTTATGTCCTGTTTCCAACATTTTAAAAAATCCGCTTAATTTCTTTAGATGCCACCGCCCAATCAGATGCCAGCCCCCGATCAGCCGTTTGCACTGTCTACTGTGAGAGAGGAGTCATCCATTCCGAGAGCAGATTCGGAGAAAAACTGGGTGTATCCTTCCGAACAGATGTTCTGGAATGCCATGTTACGGAAAGGGTGAGCGAACGTCTTACTGAGGGTATAAATTTGCTCATCAAATTCATCTAAGAATTAAATGTTAAAGACGTTTTCATCCCCAAACGCCCATCAGTATATAATATTCAACTGATTTTTCAGACTTAAAACAATTTAAATGCAAGGCCAGTGTATCAGCTGGGATTCTCCAGAGAAACAGAACTAAGAGGATGTGTGTGTCCTTATACATAGAAAGAGATTTATTTTAAGGAATTGACTCACGTAATTATGGAGGCTGAGAAGTCCCACGGTCTGCAGTCAGCAGCCTGGCGACCCAGGAGGAACTGATTTCATTCCCGTCCAGAGGCAGGAGAAACCGGGGCCCCGATTGGAAGGCAGTCAGGCAGGCAGAGTTCTCTCGTGCGGGAGGTTCATTCCTGTTTTGTTTAGAGCTTCGGCTGATCAGATGAGGCCGCCCACGCTACGGAGAGCCCTCTCTTTTACCCGTTTCAGTGTTACTCTCATCCACAACACCCTCAGACACACCCAGAATAACGTTTGACTAAATACCTACCCCTCTACGGCCTAGTCAAGTTGACACAGAAGATTAACCCATCATAGCCAGTAGCCGTTTTTAAAAATACAGTTACATAAAATACTTAGAAAAAGTTGAGGAATCACTAATCAGTGGTTCTGACTGAAAAAGTGTCATCTTATGGTTCCTTGATACATGGGTGAGTGGTTTTTGGTCACTTAGTGAAATGAATATGTGGGTTGGTTTTATGGCATTCTCAGTAAGGTTTTATTAGGTTTTACCAGACGTTCTTTCCTAGGTGGAAGTGGAAGGATGATGATATTAGTCAGAAAGATATGTATAACATCATCAGAATTCACAATCAGAATAACGAGCAAGCTTGGAAGGAGATTTTGAAGTGGGAAGCCCTTCATGCTGCGTAAGTATGTTTGAGATCTTTAAAAAAAAAAAAAACCATCCTTCCAGCATCTTTCTTACTTCATCTCTGCTTTCTAGAGTTTAAACCTTTTATTCAAACAACGTGTTACTCTAATACATTTTATTTAGTTAGTTAGTTATTTTTAAAAGATTTTATTCATTTGTCAGAGCACACGAGCAGGCAGAGTGGCAGGCACAGGCAGAGAGAGCAGCAGGCTCCCCGCTGAGCAGGGAGCCCGATGTGGGGCTCGATCCCAGGATCCTGATCATGACCCGAGCCGAAGGCAGCGGCGTAACTGACGGAGCCCCCGGCATCCCTCTTATACAGCGTTTTGGGCAGCAGGCCCGCTTCAGTGACTGGTGGGGTAGACCGCTCCCACACATCTGTGTGAGAGGCAAGCATTTCATCGTGCTCGTGGATTCGGTGGGTCCCAAGTGCAGAAGGTACAGAGCAGGGATGGCTTGTCTCTGCTTCCAACGGCTCGGGCCTCATCCAGCTTCTGATCAGGGACGGCTTGGCAGCGGAGGGCTGGAATCCTCTGAAGGCTGGACGGTTCGCTCGTCTGCTGATTGGTGCCGGCTGTCAGCCAGGACGCCTTCCCCCAGCCTCTCACTGTGGCTGCTTCGGCTTCCTCACACCATGGCGGCTGGGTTGCCAGAGCTAGAATTCCAGAAAGCTCCAGGGAAGCTGCTTCTCTCTTGATGACCTGGCTTCAGCTGTCCCGCAAGCCTGCCCAGGTTCGAGGGGAGGGACCGTGGACTGCCCCTCTCAGTGGGAGGAATCCTGCGGTGCATCGAAGGCGCCGCACGTGGGGTGGGAGATGGCACAGTGCTCTCCGCCCCAGGGCTGAGGAGAAAACCAGTTCTGTTCCCTTAGCCGTACTGACTCCCCAGTAGGATTAAGCATTGAGAGTAGTCTTAGCCCGCGGGCCTTCTTCTCAGAGGGCCTCGGTGAATGCAGCACAGTGTGTTGGCAGCGACGGGCCGTCAGTCTGTTCGAGCGGTGGTCCTCGCACGTGAGCTGCGTCGGCCTCGCCTGCGGGTTTACTGAAACACTGAGTGCCGGGCCCCCACCCCAGGGTTTCTGATTCAGTAGATCTGGGCTGAGGCCCAGACTTGACATTTCCAGAACAACATAGATGCTCCTGGTTTGAGGAGGCCACTTTGAGAAGGGGTGGGGAATGTCAGCACAAATAGCCAGATTATATTATCACAGGGGGATTACATTTTAACCTCCTGATAGGAGGCGCCTGGGTAGCTCAGTTGGTTAAACGTCGGCCTTCGGCTCAGGTCATGATGGTGGGGGTCCCGGGATGGAGCTCCACATCCGGCTCCCTGCTCAGCAGGGAGTCTGCTCCCTCTCCCTCGGCTCCTCCCCCTGGTGGTACTTGCTCTCTCAGGTAAATGAATAAAATCTTTAAAAATAAAAATAGGAGCACCTCAGTGACTCGGTGGGTTAAGCCTCTGCCTTCAGCTCAGGTCATGATCCCAGGGTCTTGGGTTTGAGCCCCGCATCAGGCTCCCTGCTCGGCAGGAAGCCTGCTTTTCCCTCTCCCACTCCCCCTGCTTGTGTTCCCTCTTTTGCTGTGTCTTTCTCTGTCAAATAAATAAAATCTTTAAAAAAATAAATTCATGATAAAATGTGGTTAACTTCTTGGCAAAAGTCCACGGAACGATTTGGTGTAGATGTCCTGTTGTTTTTTTTAAACACTTGGACTCTGAGTTTCATTAGTAGCACTTGCTGGGTGTCGGCGGCCAGGCACCAAGCCCAAGAGGGGTCCTTGTGAGGAGGGGACGCCGCGGCAAGCACGACTCCCTTCTCCGTAACCCGGGAGCAGCCCGGCTCCGATCTGTCCTCCCTCCAGCTCGCTAGTGATGTGAGCTGCCAGGGTGGGAGCGTGTGCCCGAGCGACAGCCCCTGCCAACCACTTGTAGCGGGACAGAGCAGAGCAGACAGACGAGGACATGCCACTTTGACAGTTTCAGCCCCCCTTCTAGTCGTTTTCCAGGGTCCCTCAAAATTAGGTCAGCCTTTTAAAGACACCTGCTGCAGCTTCCAGGGACCCTCTTGAGAAGAGATGCTAGTGAGTCGTTGATAAAGCAGGAAGCAGAGTGACTCTGATGGGCCTCACGTAGGGCTCGGGCACCCTCGGGCCTGTTCTCTCCCGCCCACGTCCTGAGGCCCGGCAAGGCGGAAGTCTGTCCTAACAGTGATGGCAGCTGACGAGATCGGCCCCTGTCCCGTATTTACTTACTACAAGAGCCGGTGCGGCACGAATTTCATTTGTTCTTAGGGATTCTTGCAGCATTTTTCGTCATGAAGCCTTGTTCATTGGTTTCAAATGAAAGAAAAGTAGAAGATTTTCATTTATTTGTTTTAAAAAATCCAGCTGCAGGGTGTGAAAGTCAAGTGTAATGCTCAGTACTTCACATTTCTTTCCTTTTTTTCCCCTGAGAATATGCCTCTATCCCCCCAGCAGACGCGAAGTGCACTTCTGCCTCCTGGGAAGACCGCAGGTGCTTGGAATGCCTGGGAGGGGAGGAATGCACTCGATCCAGAAGCAAAGAGCAGCATTTTTACCAAATAGGGATCTTTCTTTGAGCTGTCCTGAAAGTTCCCTCACTCTGTCAACGTGAAATTATGTAAAATGCATGCAGAAAACTGTGTGTTGTTAAGAGACGGCAGTGCCACCTTTCTCAACGGAGAGGAAGTATTTTAATAGGCTTTTCTTGTTTGGGACTTTCTAGGGAGTGTCCTTGTGGTCCATCATTGATCCGGTTCGGAGGTAAAGCGAAAGAGTATTCACCGAGGGCGAGAATTCGGTCCTGGATGGGGTGAGTGGCGCTGCAGAAATGTCCCCGGCCCGTCCTCCACTCGTGACACCCAGGCCAAGCAGTCTCAGGACTGCGGGGCCACCTTCCAGAACGTTACCGGCGCTCTCCCTCAAGTTTGCCGTCGGTGGGCGGGCTTCTCTGGGTGTCGTGCATCGTTCCTGTCTGATTGTCGTAGCCCTGAGTTGAGTTGCCTTCTTTGTTCTCCGAACTGCCCTCTCCCTCCTCCCGTGGTCTCTCTGCGTCCGGGCACTTAGTGGCCCCCTTTCCTTCCCGCCTAGGCCGGTTCTCAGCTCGCACTTGGAGCTCTGCAGCGTCTCCGTGACCTCCCCGGCCTGGGGCTCTTCCCCACTGACCGCGTTGCCTTTCCAGACAGATGAGCCGTCGCCTAACCTGGGCTCCGCACAGTTCCGCGGCCCCGTCTTCCCCCGAGCCTCACCTGCCGGTGGGGGGGTCCGGCGCCTGGGAGCAGGCGTCTCACGCTCGAAAACGTGTTTCATTTCAGGTACGAGTTGCCTTTCGACAGGCACGACTGGATCATCAACCGCTGCGGGACGGAAGTGCGGTACGTCATCGACTACTATGACGGCGGGGAGGTCAACCAGGACTACCAGTTCACCGTCCTGGACGTGCGGCCCGCCTTGGACTCGCTGTCGGCCGTGTGGGACAGGATGAAGGTCGCGTGGTGGCGCTGGACGTCCTAGCCGCTGCTCCGCCAGAGATGGGGAAATAGAAACTATTTTTTTCCGAGCAATACATTAAACTATTTCCCCAAACTGAATCGCTCTCGAGATGTAAGGGGGGCGGCAAGCGAGCGAGGCCGCCCCGCGCCGTGTTCTTTGGTTTTTAGTTTGCCCAGCTTCTAGCGGGTCATTGCAGGGTTCCTTCCCACTTGGCCTAAGTGGGAAGCAGTCCCTTGGTTTCTCCTTCGGCCGTGGTATTGCCTGTGTATTTAATCTAGAAAAGTGAACGACGTCTGAGAACGTTTGTCGTGTGAAGAGAGCTGCTTTTCCCTTCCCGTCTCTCTGGGGTACGTGAGACGCACACCTGGAAGCCCGTGTTCTGCGGAGGAGCTCAGCCGGCCGGGTGTTCGCACCACCACTGTGCGTCACAGATAAGTGGTTCTGCTTCGGGAAAAGTCAACAGCGTCTCGCTGTCCCTGCAGGAGTAGCGCGCCCTTAAGAAAACGCAGAGCTACCCGCCGGCAACGGACTCCGCAAACGGAGGCGCATCTTGGCTCCAAGTTCTCAGCGGTGAGAATTTCTCAGGCTGGACTTTGTTCTAGAATAGTTCAACTCCCCCTTGGTTTGAGGATGCATGTGCATTGAGATCTGTGTTTTCACTTTTTAAAGACTTTAATTCCCACTATCCTGCTACGAACCGCAGCTCCCAGCAAGCACGTCTCGTTGCCCACGGCCCCTGACCCGTTTCCCCCACGCCTGAGCCCGTTTCTCCTCCTGCCCAAAGCCCGCCCCCCGCCACCCCTACCGGCCTCACCGGAGCCTTGAAGGCTGGGTGCGCATCACAGCACCAGGACGGTCCCTCTCGAAAATGGGATTCCGTTCTGTTGAATGTTAGGGTTCAGAAGAAGAGTATTTTTCCCAGATACACGGTGTTTGCATCAACTCGCTCTCTCGGTGCAGATTTTCTTTTTTAAAAGAGCTCTAAGTTTGCCGTTGAAATTCTCTACCAGTGATTCATACGCTGGTTATTCTCCTTACAGCAGCATGTTCCCGACGACTGTTGGGGTTTTTCTTAAGTGTCAATAATATTTGGATTTCCTTGGAGTCTAGCGTTAGGTTAGCAGAAGGAACTGGCAGTCTGGAGTGATTTGGTTGGTACTGATTTCTTTGTTGTGTCAGTTTTGTGTGCTGGTTTCAAAATCCAACAACTTGAAGCTCTTCTACATGTCAAAATATTTGTATATTTTAAAATAAAATAAAGCTGATAGTTGACAGGTTTGGACTTTAAGAGTTACTTTGCGTGTCGCAGTCATTTCTACAGAGATGATCTTTGCAGAAGTCAGGCTGTAGTCTCCCTTCTGGCGGCCATTCTCTCCTCATCACGGTTCAAACGGCTGAGAAAAGGAATTACTGTTGCCATATGGGGGGGGGGCTCAGTGCTGCTGGATAAGTATAGGATGAGGCACCATAATGGGAAAGTGGTGTAACTGGAAGCTGGAAATTGAGCCATGGGCGGGTCACCGCAGTTCTAAAGAGCCGGACTAGTTAGTTCCTGAGAAGAACCACGCCCGCGGGAAACTGTCAAGCAAAGCCGAGGACAAGGTCAACGGTCAAGGTCAACGGTCGCTCCACCTTCCAGCACTCCTGGAGAAGACAGCCCACTGGGTTTCGGAGCTTCTGGGGGGCCAGATCATGCTTGCTCATGTCCGGGGGTCAGTACTTCCCTGCTCTGACAGGAAGTCTCATTTAGAACTTGGAATTCATTTCAGATGTCTGGGGATTTTAGGCTAAGTCTTCTCCCTGTGGCGTTAGCCCCATTCAGAATCAGAACAAACTCCTGTCATGAGGCCAGGTATCGGTGGACAAGGTGGGGTTGGAACTGGGCTCATGTATTAAACTGGACCATTCCTGGCAGTTCCCTGTTGTCTAGGGAGCTATGCCCTCTGCCGCGTCCCGGGGATATGAAATGCGAAAGGGGCAGCCCTGACCAGAGAGGTACCCAGTCTTTTGAGGGATGCTCTGTAAATGAAATGGTGGTAAGTTCTGGAATTCCAACTTAAAGACAGCCTCCAGTAGTCCAGGGGGTGCAAGTTCAGAGCCCTTGCTGGGACTCCTCACTACAAGTGCGAGGTTGGGTGTACGCCTGGTCAATTCCAGCTCTCTCATGCTGTTCCCTTCATGCCTGATTTGAGCTTGGTCCCGAGAGGGTGGATTCCTTCCAGCATCCTCAGACGGCTCCTACCCGCTGCCCGAGCCTCACAATGCTTGTTGATGGCCGCTAGGTGTGATGTGGGGCAGGAGGGCGGCTCCCACAGCCATGGACAGTAAGCTTCCGCCTCTGCAAGCTCACTGGGCCAGTTCAGCATCAGGTCTGTGTCCTGCCATCCCCTTCCCTTGTCCGTTCCCAGGAGAGAGTCTCGTGCTTAGCCTTATCCGATGAATCATTTAGAATAAACTGTGCTGCCCACCGGAGGATTATCTCACTATGGATTTTTAAATCCCACACTTAATCATCATTTCATTACGGTATTTTTCCTTCATTGGGGCCCCTTTCTGATGCCAGGGTTTCAAATCTGGAGCAGGTGGCTAGCGTGACAGCGGAAGGCGGAAGAGAATCTTCGTTGTGTGCTCGTTCTTGGCGTTTGCCGGGTGGGTTATGCAGACAGTCGCTTTAGATCTGGAAAACTCACCTTCCTCAGATGATCTTCCACACCAAATTGCTAGGGTTCATGCGTCCTGCTTCTCTCACATTCACACAGGCTGGGTCGTGCCATGGGGCTGAGGATGCACAAGCGAAGGAAAATAATGTGGTTCGAAAGCCTGCTCCGAACTAGTTTTCACAGAAAGAACATCAGTAGACTCGCTTGGCCTACACTTGGGCTAATTCCTAGCCGGCCGCCGCTTCCCTTCTGTCAAATGTGCCGGCTTAGAAATAACCCAAATATTCATCAACCGACGAACCAACAGATAAGTGGTAGTCCGGCCGCACTAGACTAGAGCCCTACCCACCCAGCACTGGACTAGACTAGAGTCCTACCCACCCGTAGAAAGGAAAGACGCACCAAGGCCCGCTACAACCCGGAGGAATCTTGAAAACATCACGCTAAGCAAAGGAAGCCAAAGACCGAGGGCCACACGCCGTATGATTCCATTTATAGAGATGCCCAGAACAGGAAAAGCTATAGAGGCAGAGCGTAGGTTAGCGGCGGCCGCTGCCGGGGCGAGGGGGTAATGGGGAGCGACTGCCAAGGGTGCAGGGCTTTCTCTCAGGGGTGACGAAATGTTCTGAAATTGCTCCTTGGAGCCCTCGGTGACTCGACCGGCAACTGCAAATGGGCGACCCCACGGTATGTAGTGACAGCTCCCTGAAGCTATTTTTAAGAAAGAAGAACTTGTGCTGGCTGATCCCTACAGCGACTGAGCCCCGCGCGAGTACTCGAATGTCAGCTTTCCACGAGCCACTAACTTCATTTTAATGAAGCGAAAGCCAAGACAAGGCCGTGTAAATGCAGAAACCAAGTCTATACATGCCGACAAGTGGCGAAGAAGGGTTTGAAGGAGAATCACAAAAAATATTTCCCTGAACCTGGAAAGGGTCGGGAAAACATTTGTAAAACTCCAGAACATGCTCCGTTCGTGGCCTCGCAGCATTCTTTTTGAGTTGCGCTGGAGAAACTGGAAGTGGACCGATAGATGGATGAGGTCCACCCCTTCACCCCCACCCCACACACGGAGAGGCGGCCGCAACTGTGGCCGATGAACAAATGATAGACGTTTACGTGTTTTTCGATTAAAATGTAGCAGGTAATCATTTTATGATTTCCTGTTTCAGCTGACTCTAAAAAATATATATATGATCCAATATCGGTCGGGCAAAGTGTTGCATTAGAGCCGCATCTTGGCTCTTGCCGCCTGTCCTGCCGCCCTCCACTTCTCTCCCTTTTGTGGTTTCCCCAGCTCGATGCTTCTCCAATTTTTGTGTAGAGCAGAATGCCCTGGAAGGCTTGTTAGAACACAGATGGTGGGGGCACCCCCAGGGTCCCTGATTGGGCAGGTCAGAGAGGACTTGGTTTCCTAACAGAGCTCCCAGGAGACACGGCTGGGGTGGGGGGCGGGTGCTGTGATGTGAGTGGCACTTCCTTGCGCATCCTTGAACCTGCGCGTGTCCTTGAACCTGGTCACAGTGTCAGTTCGCTAGGGCACAATGAAGCACCACCAGCGGAGTGGTTTAAACAACAGAAAGTGATTCTCTTGCAGTTCTGGTAGCTCTGAGTAAGATCAGAGTGTACATAGAACCAGGCCGCTGAAGGTGCTAGGGGAACTCTGTGCCAGGTCTCCCTTCTAGCTTCTGGTAGTTCCTTGACTTGGGGTAGCAGAACTCCAGTCCTCACATGAATGTGTGTCTGTGTCTACATCCCAATTTCCCCTTTTTATTAGGACACGAGCCACATGGGATTAGCGCCCACCCTAATGACCTCATCTGAAGTCGATCATTTGCAAAGAATCTTTTTCCAAATAAGATCACATCCACAAGTACTGTGACTTCAACATCTTTTCGGCAGACACAATTCCACACAAAACATGGCCGTTTGCAGGATGGCTATGAAAAACCTCACCCAGGGCTGGTCCAGCTTGTCCCTCTGGCTTCCCAGCTCTGTCACCGCTGAAGTGCTCCACTGCCTTTGTTTGCACACTTGGCTCAGCAGTGACCTTGAGAGCCAGCACTGGCTTGGTCTCTCGAAAGTATATGCCCTTCTGCCAAGCTTGGATGTGCTCACGGCCACAGTGGCACCCAGCCTTCCCCAGCCGGCTAAGCAGCTGATGGAAATCTCTTGGGGTGGGGGGGAGGGCAAGACGACCAGATGCAAAGAGTCCGGCAACGCAGGAGGAAGGACAAGAGCCAGGTGGCTCATCTGCCCTGGTGTTCCTCTCAAGACTGACTTTCCCAAACAGATTCTGGACCCGGATCCTTGATCTTGGACCAAGCAAAGTAACTGACAAGGCTCCTGAACACTGACTTGCCTCGTTTCCCTCCTGAAGGAAGAAGCATGTTTCTAATTCCTTCTCTCATTCATTTTACCCTTGCTGAGACCCACTCAGAACCCCAGAGCTGGCATCAAGACGACTTTAAGCTGAACACATTTGAGATTCAACTGTTGTTGATAAAGACCTTCTCAGAGTTTCCCGTATCTAAGAGCAGCAACTTCCCGGGAAATGAAGCCACCACAAATCCCTTCTCTGGGGGAGTTTTATGGTCCTGAAGGAGATAGGGAAATCACACCCACCTGTACAATCACTCTCACAAACTTCCTTTTCTCCCCTCTGCTCTCCTAAAAACCTATTTGTTTTTCTCATGGAAGCTGTTTCTCCCAAGACGCAGCTAGAGAGGGAGACAAACCGTAAGAGACCCTTAATCATAGGAAACAAAGTGAGCGTTGCCGGAGGGGAGGGAGAGGGGGGGGGGGGTAAGGGGGGGGTGGGCATTGGGGAGGGTATGTATTGTAATGAGCACTGGGTATTATATAAGACTGACGAATCATAGACCTGTACCCTGAAACTAATAATACATTATATGTTAATCTTATATTTAAAACAATAAAATGCATATCAACCAAATATAAAAAAAAAAAAGAAGCTGTTTCTCCCAGCTCCCTTTCCTCTCCTAAGTTAGATATCCAAACCTTTAACTTGAACCGTTTAAGGAACCAGCAACTCTTTTGTTGGCTCCTATTATGCATATGAAACAAACCCTTTTCTCCTGTCAAGCTATCTTTTGCTGGTTTAATTCACAGGCCCTGGTTAAGACACTTAAAAGGGTAGGAGGAAAGGCTTTGGAGTTTTTCCCTCCTCCACAGCCTCTGAGCAAATGCGGGCAGCTTATTTGTAGGGAAACAATTAACAGCCTCCTCCCAGCACCCCCAGGGGACACTGGAAGGTCTGTCCTCCTTTGGACTCAGTTGTCATTCCAGAGGCAGGAGCTCCTCCCGCGGGGTTCCGGGTGAGCCCCTCCCCTTCCTGAAAGAGACCAGGGCCCTGGGACCCACAGAGCTTTGTGCACGTCACTCTGAATTATCCAGATGGCAGGCTGGCCCACCTGGACGGCTGCTTCTGCCACCCTGTAGTTGTGTGACCCGGGGCAACCCATTTGATTGTCACTCTGAGTCCTCTCTGCCCTCTGGCAAGAGAGGAAGGTTGGGGCTCCTGTCTTTTGCTTGTGGGGGTTAAATGAGTGTCAGAGTAAAACACCTGGGTTTGAGCAGATGCTGTTAGCG